ACGAGAGGTTTCGGGCTCCGTAAATGTCTCTCGTACGGAGATGTGTTTACGACCTCGGGAGTGTTTTGAAAATACGCTCGTTGCGAGAAACGAGAGAGTAACTTGTTTAACGATATAAACAGACCATTTACGATATCGTAAGACGTTAGTAAATCCGGCCCTGGGGCCGGATTTACTAAACTCTCGTAAACGCTGTCTCTCCTAACAGTTACGAGAACTATCAACGATTTTCAACTAGCGACTTTACGACCTATTTTCAAACGCCAGACAACGAGTGCGCAGGTGTCTCGTAACCGTAACGACCGAATTTTCTATCGCTAGGTGTCGTAGGGATTTATTTCCTAAAAGAACGGCTCGATCGACCAATCACCGTTAGCTCGGGAAAAAATCGACCAATCACAGAAAGTTATCCGCTAAATGAGGCAACACTAATGAGTTTTACTTAAAACAGTTTCTATGTCACCACCTGGTGAATCATTACTTTTATTGATCATTACCACCTTTATAAATATTCTTATAGATTTTGATACACACACACACACACACACACACACACACACACACACAACACACACACACACACACACATATTATATATATATATAATATATATATATATATATATATATATATATATAGCTAAGGCTATACCCATCTCTCTCTCTCTCTCTCTCTCTCTCTCTCTCTCTCTCTCTCTCTCTCTCTCTCTCTCTCTCTCTCTCTCTCTCTCTCTCTCTCTCTCTCCTCTTTCTCTTCCCTCTCTCTCTACCTTATTAATATTGCTCAAATCTTATTGTCCAGATGTTGGGTGATTGTGATGTGGCCGAGCACACTAAGCTTCCGTCCTAAGTCACAATCGCCGTGTATGGAGCTGCCGAGATCCAGTAGTATTCTTATTGGTTTATTTCTGTGAATATATAACTTTTGTCTTGTGTGCTCCAGTTGGTTACGACTGACACGTCTCAGCTGGGCGCACACCCACCTTTGTAAAGGCAAGTAACAGGGCTCAGGCCTACCCTTTGGTTTTGTTTCAGATCCTGTCTCCTGACCACTCCGACCCAAGGCATGGGAGGATTGTGGAGTGTGGTCTGCAGTCCAGAGGAGAGGGCGACACACTCCAGTTACACTCGCACTTAACTTTGTACGGCGCCAGGTTTTCCCCTGCGTGGGACTGCATTAGTCACCCCTGTGCCCGTTTTCTATTGCCCGCTTTTAATTGTTTTAATTACCACCTTCTGTTAATTTTTACTAGTTCTTTTTTTTTTGATATATTTATTTTGTGTTTTAAGATTCTCGTTTTATCCCTGAGCCCTAATTTCAGTTTTATAATGAATTAACTTATTTCGCGGTGTCAGTGACATGACACGTCATTTTCTGCCAAGTCATTTTTTAAGTTTTATTTTAACTCTTCTGTCATTAGTTTTAATACTTATTTTGTCGTTTTATATCATTCCCTTGTATTTTTATTTATTACTGGAGTCTTTTTGTCTTTATGTATGTTTTAGTTTGATTTTTATTGATGTACGTATATTTTTCTTATTTGGTATTCTTATGGTGTTTTAGTTTGTTTTTATGTGTATATTTTAGTATCTTATGTTTTATCATGTATTCTGATTAATTGGATTTTATTTGTAATTTTTTTCTGGAAATGATTCGTTTTTTTGTGACGTCACGAGTCTATGACTGCCCGCGCCCCATGACAATAAACAGTGTCAACTGGAATTCTGTGTGTTTTGGATTACCCTCTTCTCTGCTGAACATCACCAAAGGTTGTACCAGCCCATTCCTGTTACTTGCCTAGGTTTTTTATGCTGGACGTTAATGTTGTGAATCAATAAGGCATTGGTTACTTAAATATTACGTTTCCCAAGTATACCAGTATTCAGTAGCTGTCATGTTGTCACGTTTCACATGTTTTTCATTGCTGAGCCTCTTCTAGGAAGTATTCCATTCACTGCTAAGTTCATTTGATTTTATTTATCTCTTTTGATGAAGGTTTCAGTGAGTTTTATGTTGTTTTAATCCAATGCCCATTATTTTATTGTATTTTACTTCTTTTACGTGTCCTTTATCTGTGTTTTACGTCTTTCACTTCTGCTTTTACTGTTTTATTGCTTTTACTTCTGTTTTTAGTCTTTCATTTCTTACTGAATCTTTTCTTTTACGATTTCAGTTACGTTTTAGTACTATTTTTAACTAATACTTACCTGTTTTCGTTTTATTTCTGCTTTATTCAATCTCTTTTATGATTTCAGTTAAGTTTTAGTCTTGCTTTTAACTATTACTTACCTGCATTCGTATTTTAGACCTGTTTTATTCCTGCTTTTACTCGTTCTTGCTGCTTTTACTTGCCTTACTCGTGTTTTACTTAGTTATTTTCGTGCTACTCCCTCTGCTTCTACTTCTACTGCTACTCCCTCTGCTTCTACTTCTACTGCTACTCCCTCTGCTTCTACTTCTACTGCTACTCCCTCTGCTTCTACTTCTACTGCTACTCCCTCTGCTTCTACTACTATTGCCTCTTCGCCTGTGACTGCTTCTGTTTGTACTTTGCTATCCCCTTTCTCTGTCTATTTTATGGTATATGTATGGAAAGGACTCCCTTATTATTTTAAAAGCACTGCCCGTTTAATAGCATATGTGGAAGCAATAGTCAATCTATTTCCACATAATCTGGAAGTTTATCCATTGCTTTTTTTAGCTTCCAGTCTTCGTTTGTTTGTTTTCTTCTCGAGGAGTGAACGGGACCCCTTTGTTCCTTCCTACTTGGTCTCTAAGCCTCTCCTGCCTCACAGGAGTGTTTCGGGCTCCTCCTTCACAGATGACATCTGGCCATAAGCTGGATGTGAACCTTACAGTAGGGGCGGGACAACTATCCCTGCATTTGTGTAAATGGAGGATGTGAATTACAAGCGACTGTTCCTTCATCGTGTTGTACTTTGCGAACTGTCGGGAATTAAAACAGAGTGTGGTAAGAAAAACGTGAATCGATTTTCCCGCCATTTTGATTTTCACGCCATTTTTGTTATCATCTTTCTGTTTACTTGGCTTTAGAACTGATTTCTTTTACTTCAAATTCTCCCCCCCCAAAAAAAAAAAAAAAGTCTAATTTTGTATCTACTTTATGCGCCTTGCTGTATTTATAATTTTCTTCAATCATTGGTAGTGATAGACGAACTTTTACATATTAATTTATGGATTTAGATTTATTTATAAACGTTTCACAATTTTGTCCCTACTTTGCTTCTTCTTAAACATATATATATTTTTTTCTAAAGGATCGTTCGAAAGAAATGTTTCTTATAAAGCGTTTACATTTTTTTTTTTTTTTTACCAAACCATTTTTGTTTTCATGTACATATATGCCCACACACACATACCAACACACACGCACATACACACACGCAGAACACACACACACGCACACACACACCACACACCCACACACACACACACACACACACACACACCACACACACACACACACAACACCATGTGTATGTGTGCCTTTGTAAATCATTCCAAAAGTCTACTTCCACCAAAATTTGCATAGATGATTAATGCTAGATCATTTTAATTTCATTACCGACCATATTTTCCTCATTATATCCTTCTTGTTATAAATATTTCGTTCCATTTTCATTACGAATCGTTCAAGGAGGTAAACAACAACAACAACAACAAAAAAATCGTTATACAGTTTTCGTTCAAGGAGGTTAACAGCAATAACAACAACAACAACAAAAAGAATCGTTATACAGTTTTCGTTAAAGGAGGTAAACAATAACAACAACAACAACAAAAAGAAAAATGCGTGCTAAACTAGACCCCCTTGTTAAATGCACTTGCAAATTTCCCTCATATCTGAATTTGCAAATCGCTAACTTCTTTGGTCGTTCATTACGGGAAGGTACATTAATTTAACTTGAGTGAAGTTTGGGGGAAGTTGAAATCAGATGGTTTAGAACGATCATTTTGTCTTATAAATTGCTGGATATAAGTGTCTGGTTTTATACGTAATTGTGTGCATTATATGCTTCGTACTGACATATGATTGATGTGAAGAGATTGGCATGGTGTAGAATGAATTGTCTTTATAATACACAGACACATAAAAAACAGACATGCACACGTAAGGACACACAACACACACACGAACGCACACACACAGAGGCACCTACACACACACACAACACACACACACACACGAACACGAACGCGTACACACACACGAACGCAAATACACACACACTTACACGTACACTAACACCAACACTTTTAGACAGAAACTAGCTTACCCACAACCACAGGAGAAGGAGTAGGGGGGGGGGTTGAGGGGTGAGGGGCACAATCATCCGGGATTCGAACGCGCCGGGATTCGAACGCGCCGGATTCGAACGCGCGTTCTCAGGTTTCGAATCGCGAGCCGACGATCATCCGGGACCCGAAAATAAGAGTGATTTTGTTTGTTTTTGTTTCTCACTACTTCCGGGAGAGTGTTTGGTGAGCGTGAATTTGCGTGTTGATGTTTATTTTTTTTTCTTCTTTTCATGTTGTTTTCTCTGGTTTTTCAACTACAGGAATGATAAAATCTTGGAAGATTTCGAAACTGTTGTCCCATCTTTCAGTGAATCTATTAAAATTTATATATATATATATATATATATATATATATATACATATACATATATATATATATATATATATATAATATATATATATATATAATATATATTTATGTCAGTGCATCCATATACATGTATGACAGGATTTGTGTGTGCATATATATATAATATATATATATATATATATATATTATATATATATATATATTATAATTATAAAGCATAATCAGTCACTCTATTTATCTATCAATCTATATTTCATGATATCTTTACTGTAAATATTCTGTAGATCCCTATTGGTAAAATCATAAAAATACTAGTTTAGGGTTTGATCTGAATAATCCTGCGAAAACATATATCAGACTTTTATTGTTT